CATGAAGGACCAGCTATTCTGGGGCACCTGATGTATTCTGTGTCTTGTCTCTGCCCACAAGTCTCCTACATGTCAACTTAGTAAGAACAGTAATATGCCGTAACATACACAGTGCTGTGTCCAGCATTCTTCAAAGTACTTTGCAACGATCTCATTTAATCATCACAGTTCTAGAGATACTTTCATTCCCACTTTCCAGACGAAAAAAATGAAACAATGCAATGAAGTAATTAGCCTATGATCTGACCACTTACTCCCCCTCAGGTCAGCTGGACTGCTCATTACCTTCAGGGTAAAGCCCAAACTCCCAAATATTCACAGGCCCCTAATGGTTACTCAAGCCTCCCATTGAATGTTTCCTCCCCATAATGTGGAACTCCCATCTGACACTGCCACCTTTGTGCTTGCTAAGAACAGATGTGCTGCATGCAGTGTTTCGGGGAGCCTAATTTGTGACAGAATCCACAAGTCATATTTCAGGTTAAGAATCACATTGATAGCTATTGAGATTTCAGTTAGAATTTTGTTTGGCATTCTAAAGATCTGAAACCAGGCCCAAATTCTGACTAGGTGGTCTGCTGGGGCAGAGGAAGGATCACCCTAGACCAGTGGTTCTCAACCTTCCTAATGCCGTAACCCTTTAATACAGTTCCTCATGCCACCTTTCCCTTTGATTTTCTAGTAATTAGTCCAAATTAAAATCAGTGCTCAAGACATCTTTGAGAGGTCTGTGTTCAGAGAAATAAAAGCATCACTTCTTAGCAACACGGGTAACCCAACCATAAAATTATTTTCATTGCTACTTCATAACTGTAATTTTGCTACTGTTATGAATTATAATGTAAATATCTGTTATGGAGGATGGTCTTAGGCGACCCCTGTGAAAGGGTCGTTCGACTGCCAAAGGGGTCGCGACCCACAGGTTGAGAACGGCTGCCCTAGACCATCTTTCACCCACTTCAATCACACCTAACCTCCAAGACTAACTTCAAATGCCATCTCCTCTAGTAAATATTTACTACTACTCCGGGTCAATTTGACTTCCAGCCTCTTTGGATTCCCCCGGCATTTTGCTGCATATTATGGCACATACATGTTTCACTAAGAACCACGTAGAAACTCTGAGTTAAGGTTAAGAGACCAACTCTATAGTGTTAGGCAACAAAACTAGACATGGCATCCAGAGTTGTAGGATCTGAGCTCTAGATAAATAATGGAGCCTGAATCAGTACATTGAAAAGGGCAGAGAAGTGACTTTATTAACACACAATCACACGTTCTTATTATCTCTTCACTTTTCATGCCCCTTCTATCCGCCTTCTGCTTACAGAAAAAACAAGACACAATTTGCTGGATATGTTGTTAGTTTTTAATAAATAGAAACCACATCACTTCAGTTGTTACAGTGAGTGAGACACGGGAGGTAACCATGCCTGAGGGCCCCACAAAGCTATTTCATCCACCAAGCGACAGAAAGGACCAGCACCTTCACCACCAAAAGCCTCTGGTTCACTTCTTCTTTGGATCTCTGTTCTCCCACCACATCAGGCTGCTGCTTCCAGAACGGAACTCTGCCTTCCACTGGGTCCTAGTTGGGAGGCGAGTCCATCAGCTTGTCTGACTAACAGAACGGAGTTCCCTAACTTAGCTGAGGAACCTGGACAAGTCTTCTTTGATCTCAGCCTCATCCCAAGGCCCATGAATGTTTTCTTTAAAAAGCTGTAGGCGAATGAGGTAAAAAGGGCAGAGGCAGGAGATAGACACCAGCAGAAGTGCAAAGAGGGTGGCCCCCACCGCACTAATGGACAACAGGCCCCCCAAGGCTGAGAATGCAAAGAGCAGCGTGACTCCCACATAGCAGCGGGGAGTACATGCCTTCAGTTTCTTCTGTAACATGGGCCACAGGGCAAAAATCTGGATGGCAAATGTCACCATGATGAAGGCATGCAGGGTCCGGGGCAGGCGTGAGGCCAGGCAGACAGAAGCAAAGATGGCCATATTCAAGGACAGGGTGCTGGACACAATGGCGGCATTGGCCCCATAGTCGAAGAAGATGAGGTGGCCTAAGAGCATAAAGACTGACATGGCGTAGATGGTGTCCGTGCTGACAGACTCTGTCAGGGTCTTCAGCACCGGCGAGAAACCGTACGTGAAAGTAATAAAGACCAGGGCGCTCTTGAGGTCAGCCCACCGGGTCCGCCCGCTCTAAAAAAAAACCTCCATCAAGGAGATCGAACAAAACATAGCCAGTCAGTGACAAAGCCAGGCCAGTCCCTAAAAGCCAGTGTGGGGCCAGAAGACCCTCATCCATATACCACCAGATGACCCCAAAAACGCAGACGCTGCACAGCTGCTGTATCACCACGCCGGATTCAAATACCACAGCCCAGTACTGGTATTTCCGGGCATGGATGTTCTTCCGGAGCTCTTCCAGGAACCGCTGGTCCACGTAGTTATCGGGAAAGGGCTGTCGCTCATATAAGACTTTCTGCCACCTGATCTCCGTGGTGTTGGGTGCGGGTTGGGCACACATCATCCTTCCCCTCTGGCCTCAGGCCAGTTCAATCTCCCATGCAGAGGTCCATGTGGTTCTTGTTTTTTATAAAGTCTCGAAATAAGACCTCTCGGGAAATCCCATGCTGTATTGCGGCTGATATTGTGCCGACCTTCCCCTGTTCTCAAAGGCTGCAACCCAGGCAAGGCCTGCAAGAGGAGTTTCTTCTCTGAGGCAGAACAACACAGCCAAGTTCCTACAAAAAGACAGACCATGAGCCTATAAAACCGCTGCAGGTTAAGGGCAGGGCTGCGTTAAAATCAAACCAACTCACTGTATTAGACGCCTGAGCAAAATCTATGCGGTGGCCCTCTTATAATAATGACATTAAAATTTCCTTTCAGGTTTTAAATGACATTTCCTGGGGTAATAATAGACATCTGTCAGCTGTCACTCAGCTGGGTGCCTGCAATGTGCTAAGTGCCTTAACTAGCTGCTGCTTTCATTCCATCTCCACAATCCTGCAGGTTGGTTAGTCCCACTTTAACTAGTAAAAAAAAAAAAAAAAAAACTTAGTAAAATCGCTCAGGTAACTCACCCAAGTTAACAATGGTAACTGGTGGAGCCATATGCAAAGTCTGACCCCAAAGCCTGTGCCTTCCCCCTCCAAACCAGCTCTGAACTCGGGGTTCACACCCCGGAGGTTTGAGGATGGGCTGAGAGCCTCCCCAAGCCCTATCACTGCATGCCTGTCGCTGCCACTTATGCAAACGAACAGGGACGGGACCCAGAGCTTGGACCGGGGTCTCAAAGGCACCTGTTCTTTAAAAGGTCTGAACAGTCAACTGCATCCTTCAGACAAATGTGAGCTCCACGGTTCATGTAGCCAAAGCCAATGACTCCAAGAAACTAAAGATCCTTTCACTGAGGTCACCCCCCTCTAAAGAGCTACCATCCGACTCGGAGAGAGAAAAATCTGTGGGGATCGGAGACAGCGACCCGTCGGCCACAATGGAAAAGCCCGGCGTCAGACATGCCAGCAAGCGTGCTCTCGGAAAGGGCGCTGAAGGCCCGGCCGC